TCTTCTTTACGAAGAGAATAGATATACTAGCCGATAATATACTACGACGTATCTAGCCTCTTCTAAGGTATTCTTTAATATATTTATAAAGAACTTCGAGTTCTAGTCTTAAAAGTAGGTAAAGTAGACTATAAGAGACGTCTACTCCCTCTTTAAGCTCGATCTTTAGCTTATATAGCCCGTAATTAGGGAGAAGTAACGTATCTTCTACCGAAAACACATCCGTATACTACGAATATATATTAGATAGTATGTCTTCGCCCCGATTATTACTATTATTCTTATCTTTATTAATAATTAATAAGGACGTAAGATAGATTAGTAATAATCGGGTCCGTACGGTAAGGTTCTATACCTCCTTACTAATAGTTATAACTTACTAGTATAATTTACTATAGTATTATTAAAACGTTAATATCTCCTTCTAAAAATTAAGAATAGGGTTTAGGCGTCTAAGCTAAGGCATCCCTAGAATTATATTCTATTAGCTAATATTAGCCACGATAAATTTATTAGACATCTACTATTTTATTATCTTCGAGTTATAAACTTCGTAATTTATTATAGCTTTACCTAAAGTTCTAACTTTATATCTATTAACTATAATAGTTTAGCTAACTTTACTAAGATTATACGATAATCTATACTCCTTTATAAGAATCGACGAAATATAGTTATCTTCTATACTAGTATCCACGAGGGCCTATATAGTTTTATTACCATTTACTATAGGTAATAATACTTTTAGTAATATTAGGTCTTTACTTACCGGAAGGCGCTACGGCTCCTTCTAAGTATATATAATTTAGCTAAGAACGCGGTTAGATCTCGTATACTAGCCTACTCTTTTTTCGGATTCTTATAGTTAGGCGAAATATATTCTATTTCTCTATACTTATAGTAATAAAGTGCGCTATAATCCTACTATTTTACGATAGGTATTATATTTAAGCCTATGCCTTATCCTTTTCTACGTTAAGAAGTACCGCCTTAATTATTTTAGTATCCTCTTAACGCGTTTCTACCCCGATTTACGCTCTTCTAGTACTAATTATAGTAAGGTTACTCTTAATTAAACGTATTCGATTGACCTCGTTTCTAACCCGTATAGGGTTTATCGGTTTTACCTAGAGAGCTACGTTCCTTAAGGATGCGGTAGTATTTATTAGCTTTCTTCTCTAATTTATATAGATAGTTAAAACTTAATAATACTATTTCTAGTCTTTCGCGGATTAACGGAAGTAGTACTTCGCGAAACTAGAATATACGAATATTTTTCTATAGTATAGGGATATTATTCTATAGGTTTTAGAGGTATTATAGTAGTTAAGTAGGTGTCTAGTTCGGTTATTATACTACGCTTCTTAACTTAGATAGTACCTTTCTTTCACGTTCTCTATCCGTTCCGAGGGTGTTTAGTATAAATATAGCTAAATATTCCTAGGTTATCGTAGATAGTAGCTATACTTCTTTCTATCTATCCTATTAATCGCGGGATTATAAGCCTAGATATCGTTCTCCGAACGAAATACGTTATACTTTAGTAGAAAAGAGTAGAGGGTTATCGAGGAAGTACTTTTCGTAGTCTCTCTTCTAGTCTTTCTACTCCTTTTAGTTCTTCTCTATAAATATAGTTAGGTCTTTAGATTTTAGTATATCTAGAGAAGAAGTAGGGTAAATTAGTAACGAAGCGGCTAGGTATATAGTAGATTATTATAACTCTAATAGTAGGTGAACTAATTCCGCCTAAATTAGTATAGGAAGTCGTCTACCTACTATCGTTCGGCGTAGTTCTTTAAGAGACTCCTTAAGTTCTCGTCTCTTTATAAGGAGTTTCGCGCGTTCTACCTATTCTTTAAGGGTTTAAATCTCTTAAGCCTAATTCGCGATATATTCCTAAAGTTTAGTAATAGTTTATTATAATACCTTACGTAGCTCTACCACGACTTATTATCCGGCTTTATATTATTAGACGTTACTTAGCGTCTCTACTATTTCTTCATCTAAAAGCTCCGTAATTCGGTCTAATATTTCTACTTCTCGGTTAGAAACGGCTAGGATTAATACTAATTATAGAGGATCCCTATTATTTAATATAGTATTACTTATCCCTATAGTAGATCGTGTCGACCTTCTCGGTTCTAGTTAGACTATCTTAACTATAGTACTATATAGGGAGTAATTCGAATATAAGCATAGAGTTATTAGATAGTAGTATAGTTAGATAGAATAATAGGGTATATTCTATTATAGAATAAATTACTACCGAACCCTTTTAGTAGGAATCTAAGAGTATATATATAAAGGGACGCTAATCTATCTAGTACGTAACTATTTACCGCCCTTCACGTTACCTTCTAACCCTGTTAGCTAAGGTACGTGTAGGTCGGGTCCTACCTAAGGCTAAGTCCTAATATAAAGTATACTATAGTATATAATAGAAGCGAAGGAGATATATAGCGTAGGCGAATCTTTATAAGGCCCTTATAGAATTTTACCTATATTACTTTAGATCCGTAGTAGTTATATAAGAAGAGATTATTCCCTTTTACTCTTAAACTATACTCTTAATTTCTAATATATAACTAGAAGAAAAGGCGTATAGAATTTAGTTACTTACTAAAGAGAATATTAGTAAGTTTAACCTTTTTTATAGAACTATCTAAGAGAATATAATCTAAGAAAACTATTCTAATACTATTAATCGGAATCTTCTAATAATTCGTAATTAATATATTATCTAAGTTACGCGGTTCTAGAGAGGAGAAGTTATCTATATAGCCTAATATATATCTTAAGACTCTAGAATTAAAAATCTAATTATAGATATCCGTAGTAATATTAGAATTTATAAGAAGTCTAATAGCTTTAATACTTAGGTCTAAAAATATTACTAAAATAAGAGGCTAACTTACTACTTAAGATCGCTTACTATTTATATTAGCTATAGTTACAAAGAAACTAACGATATTATTATTAGAGTTAGATTTAGAATCTAAAATTTTAATAACTTTAGCCTTATTAGCTTTTTATTACTTACTTAAGAAGTCCTTTTTAGAGGAAGACTTCTTATTCTTAGACTTACCTTTAGACTTATTATTATTCTTAGAAGCCTTAAGCTTATAGTAGTTCTAATACTTATAGCCTTTAGAAGGGAAGCTATATTTCTTATACTAGGTATACTTAGTATCTAAGGAAGAGATAGAGGCGGAGTTAGACTTCTTTAACTTAGAAGGCTAACTAGACTTACCCTTATAACCGGCCTTATACCCTATAGTATTAGGCTTAATACTATATTTCTTAGCTAGATTAAGTATCTTTAGCTTAATATCTTAAAAATGTAATATATCTCGAGTAGATAAATTATTAATAATATAGTCTATAGTATTAGATAATAAGACGAGAAAGAATAAGCCCTTAATCTCTTTAGACTTAAAGATTAGACGTATTACTTTTATAACTATATAAGATAAAGTAGTATATCTTTTTACTATTCGCATCTAGGTATAATAGAAGTTATTAATATATTTATAGATATCTTCTCCGTCTTTATAGCGGAGGTTAGTAAGTAATCTAAATAGATATATTAAAGAATTATCTATATTATAGTTAAAATATAATAATAGATAACTCTATATAGCTACTACTATATTATAGGAAGTAAGATCTATAATAAGATCTTAATATATTAATAAGAGTAATATAATTATTACCTTATTATCCTTTATATTCTAATCTATTATATCTATATATAAATCCGTAACTCTAGTACTAAAGGGTCTAATAACTCTACTAGAGACTATTATCTATAATTATATATATTTAAATACGATTATCTAAGCTAATCTCTACTTAGGGAAATTTTCTCCTCTTAAAGATAGCTTAGATAGAGAGAATAGATCGAGTTTAAAGTTAATAGACATGTTTATTATTAATAAGTTCCTTAAGTTCCTTAAGTTTCTTCTCTTTTCTTTATATAGAACTAATAGTTTCTTATTCCGACTCTTTCTACTTATTACTTATTTATAAGGAAGGTAGTAAGGGTAAAAGACGTAGAAGAACGGTAAGAATAATATAGAGGCAGAGAGTTAATAGAGTAGTTAAAGTAAAAACTTTAATAAGGTTAATATTAAAACTTAAAGTTTAGAAAAGGGACTTATTTTTTATTAAAATATAATAGTTTTTATTAATAAAGAGGTGTTTTAAGGCTTTTATAGTAAAGTACCGGGCTTATAATCTATTATAAGAGAAATGGAGACGTAATTAAGGTTATTAAGTATATTCTATAAGTATATAGAGAACTAAGTTCTAGGAGACAGAGTCGAAGCTATTTAACCGTTTAGACACTAGTCCCGTTTAGGAAGCAGTGTCTCTTACTCAAAGTGCCTTCCGACAACAATTAGTAACCACTTTTATCCTAAGCAATTATGCTCTTGGCATGTTCAATTCAATATCTTGGGCCACTGCATTTTTCTAGTGGCTCTTCACGTGGCTAAACGCGTACAGTTAGATCTCGTTATAACGATACGAAGACCGCTGCGTTGAATCTATCGTCATAAGAAGATTATCATATATTTAATTCTTATATAAGCTAGGCCCCTGGGCGTTGATTAGCTACCTCCATTTTTAGACTATATAAGTCCCTAATACTAGGTATTAAGGGCCTCCTCTTAACCCTACTGATACCTATGCTATATCTATGTACGAGTCAATATAATAATAGATAGGTGTAAAAGAAGAAGACCAATTAAACGTCGGCATTTACTAAAAGTATGTATTCTATTTCATATGGTAGTTAGCCCTATCGTTATACCGAGATTGTCGATATAACTGATATCGTCATAACGAGATCCGACTGTAAACGGTCGCAAACCACTATGCGCACTCTTCCCGGTCACAACCTTCTCGAAAGATATACTCAGAATCACCTATATGCTTAGCTTTCTTGGACACAAGCATTCTAACATGTCTACTAGGCTCCTCTGCGATCTCTCGAAATAATGTTTTGGTAAGTCATACAGCCCGGTCATCGTAGACTGAGTTTACTAATATCACAGTGAAATGGATCCGCCCATCGGGCGATCCATTTACAAGGTTGGAGATCATGCTTGGAAGATTGGGACTTCAATCGTCTGCGAGAAGGTCTCCAAGATTCCCGAGGACGCTCTCGCCCACTGGCAAGACCAAAACATGGACACGTTTTGCCTTCGTCCTGCTGAATCGATGCAAGTGGAAACAGAGGAGATGACACCCGTATACAACTCTGGAACCTCGGGTGCTGTTTGGAACATTGGTGGAGCATTTTTTAAAGTGAAGAGCTGGCAAGAAGGCACGGAGCTGGAGAACGAAACAATAGATTTCGTAGAGGAGAGGCTTGAGGGCATCCCACTTCCGAAAGTCTTATACGCATGGAACGAACCCGAACTCTCCAGGTCGTATCTTGTACTCCACCAAATGCCAGGAACACTACTTGAGAGGGTGTGGTCTTCGCTATCAGCAGCACAGCACAAGGAAATCGCGACTGAAATAGCAGGTTACTGCGAAATGTTGGCGACCATCACATCGGATTCATTGAAAACTGCAACAGGCTGTGGAATTGCTGATGCCCATCATGACACCATCTTGTCACGACGAGCCTTCTTGGAAGCGAAGAATCCTTGCGCCTCTTCATTTGACTAGTGTGGAGAAGTATCTCTCCTCATCGAACATTCTTATCCTTGATGGGAAAGCCTCTGGCATTTTGGACTGGGAGCACGCTGCGTTCTACCCACGGTTTTGGATCGCTACGAAGCCGCATCTCAGCTGCGGATTCATCTTGAAAGGAGAGGATGCATGGGCGTGGACAAGATTACTATCACAAGCGCTGATGGAGAGTGGATTCAAGGACGACCTCTCAGGATTCCAGCGCTGGCGCGAAAGTTCGCGAAATACTGAACTGACATAAGTCTTTGTATAGCAATCCACCTTCATACTCTTTGTTCTATCCAAAACATCCTAACTCAGCTCGAGATATGAATAGGAAGTTGTGCGATACATTTGTCGAGTTTCTCGGCGTTTATGGGATTGTTGTACTTGCAACCGTCCTTCGGACATTGCTTTTAAAGGACAGGCTTATCGAAGGTTGTAGACGCCATCTTAATTTTTCTCAGCTGGGTCATTTGCTCGGATGTGAGCAGAGTTGGCAGGTCTTCGTTGTCAGAAACCCCTGACTGGTGAGTAGATCTCTTTAGTGGTAGACGATACCGGTTTGGCTCTGTACTGTTTACGTACGTTTTGACAGGTACAGTACGCCAGCCCTTGCGCCTTGATCTCTTAGATCAGACGGATAGGCGGCATGTGTTCTAACAGGACCATGTACTGAAATACGTATTGATCGGTTCGTTCTAGTAGGCGTGGACCGCTGCAGAGACTCTTGGCATTTTGTCAACGCGTGGTCTTCTTGCCGGGGCTCTAGGAGAACCCATCGACGTTTTCGTTGTTCGGCCGACAGCGACTCTCTGACGGTAATAGATGTGACAGGCTTTGGCGTTGGGCGATGGATATCAGATTGTGGGTGCTTTATGACCGTGAAGGATTCTAGTGACGAGTGTCTAATCTTAAAGGAATGTATATTTACTAGCATCACCTTTGTTGATACCGAATACCTAGGTATTTCAGCCCAACGTTCTACAAACATGGCTGCCTTTGCTAGGAGGGGGCTTTGTCGGCTGTATATCCTGGTATTTTCGGCGTCTGTGTCGCGCGCGGGTACTGGGTCGCGGCAGGATATGGCTGGTGCGTGTGATTGTATGTGGGCTCCGTAAGGCTTGTATTTGTGTGGACTATGATGATAATATAATAGCCTTTTTCCATCAGCATATTGCAGGATGCTGTGTCAGGGTATGAGAAGGGAGAAAATGTGGAGGCTGTGCTCAACAGGATCTGTTCACTGAGACACATTCTGCCCGAGAAAGTTGCTCACGTACGCTCTGCTGGTACGTACGTCTGTCTGCATGGATACCCTTTGTAAGAAGAACAGAGCCCAGACAGACTGCACATAATTTTCAAACAAACGCACATAGCACGAGAGCAGCCGCCCGACACCGAGGCAAAGAACTGTATGCATCGAGGCATGAGGTGGATAATAGTACGTCCAGCATCTCCCAATTCCACGCAGCAAATGCATCACGCCGAAGTTCTCCACAATCATGGCAGAGACTCGGAGAGCTCCACAAGGCTGTACCCGCTAATGCATATGCATGCATCAGTATCCCGGCGCGTATCAGCCGCGGTGAGTAGACGAACGGGCTCATTCAATGTAAATGGCGCTCGGCACACGTTCATGTTGTCGAAATTGAAGATCAGAGCGCATGCGAGGTCTTATTCACCATTCGATGGACAGTGACAGACTCAGCATGGATACGGTGTTGTGGTGTTGTGGCAACATGAGTGGTTTGATTGGTTGTTGATGTCAGCCGCGTCATAACTTGCAAGCTCCTTCAGCCCTATCGACACCTCAGGCAGTAACAAGACTAGTAATTGTCGAATGAAAAAACAACGGGAGCTTATCAGTCGCTGAAATACAGTGGCGGAATTCCCCATCTGAGCTAGATTGACCGTTAGTAATGAGGTATCTATACCTAAACAGGCTAGCGTACACTGTCGCATTCTTTCGCACGCAATAATAGCAATATTGACCCGTCAAACTTTTCGATCCACAACCACCACCACCTTCATTCACTTCACCCAATACCACCACAAATACCACAAGTATTACCAATGTCACAGTCTCCTTCGCCATCATCACAGCCATCAGTCGAGATGGCTCTGTCTGGGCCTCGGTCTCTTGGACGTTAATCAATGTCCGCTTGTCTCCGACAAGCTTTTATAAACGATAATTCCATCGTTCACGCCAGATACCCACACATGTCCCACTCATGTCCCACCGATATGTATCCGCTCCGTCGGTCTGCCCAACTCATTTACGCGTCCGGGCCCACGTTTCGTCCCGTTCGTATCTTGTCGGTTCGCTCGCTGGATCCTGATATCCTTCGAGAAGGAACTACCGCTATTTTCTGCCCTGTCCAAGTGGCTACTAAGCTCGCAGGTAGGTAGTTGCGTGTTTGCTCATGGCAACCCAACCTGCGTTTTTTTTTCTGCCTGACTCATATAGTCGTGGTCTTCTTATCGTCCCGCATCCCGTTTGTCCTGCCTTTTCTTGATTTCCATCGTCCAGCGTTCTCTCCAGCATTTCTATCCGGCGTCTCGATATAGAACGGGTCTCCTACCATCCTTTGTTGCTTTGCCAGGATATCCTTGTCTTTACGCATTACCACGGCATGACTACGCACGAAACGAGTCCCGATAATGCTCCGTCATCACGTCCGAGGGGCATAAGCTCTGCACATCAGCCGCCTTTTGAAGCCATCGGCACTCTCAGTCAGCCACCCGCTGCACATATCGACGAGGTCATAACACCCATCAGAGACCCATCTCAGTCATACTTCTCATTACCGGACAATGGCAGTCCGACTCGGAGAAACAACAGCGTGTCTCTACCAGATACACCAGCAGCAACTACACCAGCTCGTCCAGGGCTCCCGCCTCGACAACGCAGTCATGCAAGATTCCCAGACGAGCCCGAAAAGCTCGAAAGGCGCTTCACGGGCAGACTGATGAAAGACAAGGAGGATCAGCTGGATGCTGGCGATGAAGAGAAACAGATTGGGGAACCTCATGTAGTAGATCCAGAGCCTACGTCAGTATGGCAAAGGGTGAGAGAGTTCTGCAAGGACTTTAGCGCCGACTTTGGTGCCGTACCAGAAAGGAGAGACCCCACTGAGTTCATGGGTGACTCGGGCATCGACATACGAACCTTGAAGAAGCTCCAGAAGAAACGTCGCCATAGCACTTCAACTATCATATCATCGGGTCTGCTACTCTCTAGTCCAGGTTTCCGGCTCCATTCGAGGAACAACTCGCAGTCGACATTAGGTGGTTCCACAGCGCCTCCTAGTGGTATATCCACACCAAACGTCACAAGTCCGCCAACTAGTCCCTCCACACCAGGTACACCGTGGAGGCGATTTCAAGATGGATTGGACCCACAAGAGCTCACAAAGGCATTAAAGGCCATGAAGAAGAAGATCGAACACGGTACAGGCAGTCGAGAAGCTAAATATGTTGCTGCAAAGTCTGATATCAACAATCGCAGGACGTTGTGTCTGCTGCTGACATATGCCTTCATGCTGTACGGTGCGCCTTCGCACCGTATAGAGGAGTATATCCTGCAGTTATTCAAGGTCTGTGATCTCGATGGGCGCATCAATTATCTGGTCGGCTGTACAGAAGTGTGCTTCATCAATCCGCCGGATCATAACGACCCACTGACCCGCCAATCATACACTACTCTTGTGAAAGCTCAAGGTCTTGACGTTGGTTGTCTCGAAGAAGCATTCAAGATATACAAGAAGGTGGTTCGCCAAGAGATTAATGTGGAAGAAGCCACAACAGAACTCATGGATGTCCTGAATGGGCCCCCTTACTACAGGCCGTGGTGGATTGTCCCATTCTACGGTCTCGCCTCCATGTCGGCTTGTGTATGGGCCTATAATGGATATTGGACGGACATGCCCGTTGCCCTTGTTCTTGGCTCAATTGTCGGCTTTCTGCAAGTCATTGCAGCTGCTCGCAACCCACTCTACGCCAATGTGCTTGAGGTATCGGCTGCACTGGTCACATCTTTTGCTGCCCGCGCCATTGCATCCATCGGTGGCGGGGGCTCGCAAAAGTACTTTTGTTTCGGTGCAATCGCTGAGTCGTCTATCACTATGATCCTCCCTGGCTACATTGTGCTCTGCGGCGCCCTCGAACTTCAAGCCAAGTCGCTCACCGCCGGTGCTACCCGACTCTTCTACGCTGTCATATACTCGCTCTTCCTAGGGTACGGTATCAATGTCGGCTCTCAGCTCTGGGGTTCAGCCGATGCCCACGCCACAACAAGTGCCACTTGCCCACGATCTGTGGACCCGAAATGGAAAATTGTGCTTGTGCCGTTCTTCATAGCTATGCAGGCCGTTGTACTGCGCTCCCGCCCGCGTCAAATACCCGTCCAGATGATTTTCGGCAGCGCCGCGTATCTCGTCAACTACTTTGTTGCTGCAAATGCAACCTCGCAAGTCGCAAATACTGCATCAGCACTGACACTAGGCATGTTGGGTCACTTGTACGCGCGCTCGCGGCGCGCATTTGCATTTGCGTCCGTCGTCGCCGGTATTATGGTCCTGGTGCCCTCAGGACTGAGCGCACAAGGTGGCTTGATTGCGGGCATTGAGACGCCACTCTTCAACAACGGTACGCTGGAGGCGCAGACTGTGTACGAGCAGAACCTGTACAGAAGCTTCAGTGTGGGTGCACAGATGATCCAGGTTGCTGTTGGCCTGAGTGTGGGCTTGTTTGTTAGTGCGCTGTTAGTATATCCGTTCGGGCGGAAGAATAATGCCCTGTTTAGCTTTTAGATGTGGATGGTTTCTGATCATGGGAAGAGGAGTTTGTTTTTGAAATTAGCGATTTCGGTAATGATAGCGCATATATGGGATGGCATGGGGTTCACAAGAGCCGTTTTCGTGTCTTGAGTAGAAGGCGGGTCTGACTATTCTACTACGATATTATATAATACACGCGATGATGCATAAAGCATCGTCCTCTGACTGGGCCTTGGCCCATGTTTACACTCTGCCTTTTCTGGTTTCCACCTCTGTATACCATGGACATATATGTCACACACACAGTTCTCTCGCATTCACATCTCTTTGCTCTACTTAACTACTACCTTTTGTCATACCAATATCAATCTTCGCAAACATTCTACTCCCCCTCTAGTTCACGATCATCCTGTTAGACAGACACAACGCTCAACACCACCTCATGCCGTATCTCGAGATATCACACATCAAAGTCAGACGTACGAGCGCTGATATCGTTGATCAGCTCCCAGATACACATTGTGCGGCTTATCGCTTGCAACGTACGACGTGCCACCCATGTTGCTAAAGCAGGTCTCTTCCCAAGAAAGTAAAGCAAAGAAAGACAAAGTTACAAGATACAGGTGGAGATATGGCGTGGGTGGATTGACGTGTGCGGTGTGTGCATGTGTGTGTCTGTGTGTAGACAGACTTGACTTGTCGGAGACTGATGTGTCGTTGGGTAAAAGAAAAAAGGAGTCGTGGCGTGGCGTGGTAGGAGCTTCGTATATATGAAAGAGGGAGGGAGGGGGAGCGTGGTTGGGTATAGGGTTTAGATCGCATTGGGTGAGATTCATTGGTGTTATTGTTCTTTTCCTCATGCTAGCCAGACAGACAGATCGGTGAACGCAGAAACACAACAACACGGCGCAAGACAAGGTGACACGACACAGCACAACACAAACACTGTTCACGCGCACTCCCCTCTCTCTTCACACACCACACCCTCCATCCCTCCACTTGCCTTCCTCCCTTCACACACCACTCCCTCCCCCAACAAAGAAAAAACACCCATTATAATCCTCGTTTTCAAGTCTGCATCCAAGCCCAGGTGCGATGGTTCAGTGGTTAGAATCACCACCGAAGTAAGGTCACCGGAGACCAAATATCCGCAAGGGTGGCGGAGGCGCAGGTTCGATTCCTGACCTGAGCCTTTTGTGTTTTTTTTTTTTTTGAGCTGTTTTTTCCTCGGCGATTTTTTTGCGGGGGGGTTGTGTTGACTTTCTGGGGAAGTTTTGGGTGCGGTCTTAAGGGGGCTGGATGGGCACTCATGTTGGGGATAGTGGAGGAGTGGACGAATGTGGAGATAGGTTTGTGGATTTGATAGGGGTGTAATGTTTTCAGAGGGTTGGTTTGTAGAGAGATGAGAGGAGGGACAGCGAAGGAGTTTCGAGAGAGGGACTGATTTAACATGGGACATAGTGTTGTCTTGGGCTTATCTTGTTAGATTGGTATGACGGTCATGATTCTCTGCTCAGGAATATCTTTAGAAGTATGTAGCATATCGTTAAGGATCAATACATGACCGAAATGGACGGAATACTATTTACATGACATGGGGCCGTGAGAACGCTAATAACACTGATAATGCCCTCCTGTTGCTGACACTTCAGTCTGCTCGGAGACATCACCTTCGCCTCCTTCGCGGCTTATACTCCAGAGTACACAGCCGTTACATGCCTTCCACACTCCACTCTCTGCTCCATCTCGACTTTCCTGCCATTCACGCTGACCTTCTTCTTCGGCGTGATCTGAAAACGATGCTCTTCCTTGCCACGCACCTTCCGCTCCGCTACGGCATCCAGTGGCTGGATATACACCGGGTTGCTCACGTTATTCCGCTTGCCCGTGCCGAGCTGGTAAAACTCGTTGTTCCCGAAGAATAGGATGTCTGCGCCCCAATTCGTGGCGTTTTCACTCGCGTACCTCGAGTCAGCTGCCGAGACTTCTGTCACGTTGTCCATGACTGCTGCGACGTGGTTTGTGCCGACTGAGAGACGTGCTAGGCGGATTGGGATGGCTTGCTTGGCAGCCTCGTCATACTCGTAAAGGCCAGAGAGGGAGGGAATCTTGACAGGGGTAGACGCGACATGCGTCCATCGTCCGTTGCCGAGTGCACCCCAGATACCTTGCCCACAAGCCCAGGTATCGGCCGTCACGCGTCCCATTGCCAGACGCGCTGAGCGCGATTCAGACTCGTCGTCTGCAGCAGAGGCTACCCGTGTTGCGTCGATAGTGAAGTAGCTGTTCGTCCCACCTGCTGCGATACGCGTCACACGCGGGACCTGTGATGTGCCAGAGTAAAGACGTGTGAGGGGCACCAAGGCCGGAGTGTCGACAAAAGACGGCTCGGATGTGTCGAGACCTAGCTGGCCGAAAGAGTTATCACCAAACGCGAAGACACGACCATCGCGATCGGCGGCTAGGCTATGATGGTCGCCGGCAGAAATTTGTGTTATAGGGAATCCGCGGAGAGTGGTGATCTCGTGAGGTTGATCAGCAGGACCTGCTGGTCGCGTACGGAATAAAAGGCCGGGAATGCCCAGCTGGCCGCGTGAGGGAAATGTGTCAGAAGCGGAGGCGAAGGAATAGACACGGCCTTTAGTAGTAAGTAGTAGGGCATGCTCGATTCCAGAAGACACAGAAGAGATCTTTTCGCCCCAAGCAAGGTTCGAGGGTTCGATCTTCCGATAGCTAATACTGGCTCGTGACGTCCAGAAGGGAACCCAGGAGCTTTCCTGGCATTTGGAGCCGGCTTGTTGGTCAGATTTGGAGGCCGGAATGCTGTATACTGTGCCATTTGAGCTCAAGGCTATGATACGGTCGCGGGAGAGAGACAGGGAAACGAGGTCTTTGTGGCGCAGGGTAACTTGTGGTGTGTAGTCCTCCGTAGAAAACTGCGTACCCCATTGTATGAGGTCTCCTTTGTCATCGATAGCAGCTCCATACGTCTTGTCAAGCTTAACATCCCTCAAAACCTTGCCATCAAAGTATGGTATTCGGCGGGCTGTTTTTATGAATGGCTCGTTTGAGTCGGGAGCGACAACCTTTCCAGCGTTCGATCCCCAAGCATACACGCCTGGATTCTCCCAACTCCGTCGCACTTGGAGGTGCTGAGAGCTTATGATGTCCCTGTTCTCTTCCTTTGACGAAGCCTTCTTCCTTGGCTTCTCGAATTGTGGCTCGTTGGCCGCTGGTGGTTCCTCAGCGTGCAACTCTCGCGACCACTGCCATGCTGTGGCAAAGGATCCAAGGACTATGACTGTGGCCACTGATCTGAAAAAATGCTGTTGTCGCCGTGCAGCATATGGTGAATACACCCTTGTTGCAACTCTTGTGTCTCCGGTTCCAGGATGTGGATGAAACCCTCGAGAGCTTATCTTTATGGCCGAGGCTGCCTGTGCGATTGGCCTTGATTTGAGCATCGTGAAAGTTGACAATCGAAGCGTGGAAAGAGCAGTAAGAAAGAATTATGGCATGATGGCATTAAGGGCAAACCAGAAGGCAGACATAGCTGATCGTAAGCCGTTGCGCGGAGATGGATCAATATTCCATGGGACGCTTAGAGCATTTCCCCAGACCTAAAAGCGTCATAGAGATGCAAGCTAGTCGCGTCTGTTAGTCCAATAAGAAGCACCACAGACAACGCATTCAGGCATGCAGGCATTCAGGCATAAACCCCCACATCTTGGAGTTTCAGGCCAGCTTGAGATGCATACAGCTATTTACAGCAGAGTGAACGGGAAATGAGCCTTCACGCTCGCGCCATCAACCTCCCTCCTCTCTCTGGAAAATGTATGAAGCGAGTTGGTATGATGCATTCGTCCCTCGCTCTAGCACCCAGCAGGACAAGTCGAAGGGCCACAAACGTCGCGAGAGTCTACTGAAGCAACCAAACGTAAGCTCTGCAATCAGCCTGCGCGAGCTCTACGTTATTGATGAATCGTTGTAGGATGGCACTTCAGCTGACGTCGAGACCGCAGTCGGTATACCCGAGATACCTGAGGAACTTACAGATACGATTGGGCCACCAGAAGCTACCATTGCGCGGCGTGCGAAATCCTACAGCGACTTTTACGATGTGGTCAGGGCACACGTTCGAAAAGAGCATGAGAAGGAACGCGAGGCAGAAAAGGCAAAGAAAAGGACAAGAGACCAAATTAAGACTGAAATTGACTTTACGGAATGGTATGGAGATATCAGCGATGAGCTGCTAGATGCGAGCCATGAGCAGTATCGGTATGAGACCCGATATGCTTGAATGTGTGACCTGCTGATCGTCAATTGAAGACTATATCATGACCAACTGAGCCTCACAAAGTCGCATTTGGATAATCTGCTCCTCGACACATCTTCTGCTTTAAAGAACCTAGTATCTCTCTCGAACTCATTCAAGGCCGTAGAACACCAGACTACTGCTTTTCAGACACAATGCGAGAGCTTGGTCCACGATCAAAGGCGCATTGTTAAGCTTGCAGATGAAGTGGAAGATAATTTGCGGTACTATGCATACCTTGAGCCGATCACACGCAGGTTGAATGCCCCCGGTGCTGGAAACCACGTGAGACGAAAAGAATATGTGGACATGCTGGAGAACCTCGACAGCTGCTTGGAATACATGGAATCTCATGTATGTATTCGTGTGCAAGCTTTGCCCTCTACTAATATGTGCCAGCCGAGCCACCGCGAAGCGGCCACATACCGATCTCGGTACCGATTACTTCTGACGCGAGGACTCACATTGATCCGTGTACACATCACCAATGCTCTTCGAGAGATAGCTGCCGATGTGTCGAAACGAATTGCAGATAGGCAACTCAACGAGACCACTATGTCTGCTCTTCTGTATGCCAAATTCAGGGTCGGTGCCCCAGAACTGAAACAACTAGGTCTCCAAATACAAAAACGTGCTGTGGTACCAGCGAACGCCGAAGCTGGTACAGAAGCAGAATATCAAAGTTTGATGAACGAATTGTACCAAAGCTATTCGACCGCCCGGGGCAGGTTGATACTGCCTATCGTCTCAAAGGAGATGGGGGAAATTGCGCTGGCTCCAAGCACGTCAAAAGACCTCGTCGCCTTTGCAAGGAGTAGCATAAGCTTCTTGCGGGGCATCCTTGTTGACGAATATGAGCTGTGGTTCGAATGGTTTGAGACTGATGGAAGACTATATCACTTTCTCGAATCGTTATGCGAGCCCCTTTTCGACCATCTTCGGCCCCGTATCATACACGAAACACAGATGACCAAACTTTGCGAGCTCTGCACCTTCATCCAGACCCGATATATAGACCCAGATGAGGAGGAAGAGGACCCTCTAGATCGGAGTCGTCTCAACTTTCCAGCTTTGATACACTCGGCACTAGAAGATGCTCAGACACGACTTGTATTCCTCGCACTGGGGGTCCTGAAGACAGACATTGAGCAATATAGGCCGAAGCCAGAGGACCTCGACTATCCCGGCCGATTCGATCGTAATGCTAAACTCAAGACTTTGTCAGCCCAGCCCGCCCTATCTGGTCGCAAAGGCTCTCAGAACGGTGTCCTCCCCCAAACCATGATTGTCGAGTCAGAAGAAGACGGCCTAAGCGCGTTCAACTTCAATGCGTACCAAGACTGGTATCCAACGATGCGTAAGGCAATATGGCTTCTCAGCAAGATCTACCGCCTTGTCCACGTATGTTTGCCCTTTCATTACTTCATAGCTTCACTAACATCTCTCTATAGTCCTCCGTCTTCGACGACCTTGCTCATCAAATAGTCCACCAGACGACGCTCTCCCTACATAACGCAGCATCCCAGATCTCCCAGCGCTCCTCCCCTACTGACGCCAACCTCTTCCTGATCAAACATCTACTCCTACTCAAACAACAAATTGTCGCCTTCGACATTGAATTCGTCACCCCAGAAGTCGGCTTCGACTTCTCATCCATGACCTCGACCTTCCACGAACTCCGATCTCGCGGCGGCCTTTTCAACCCCGCAAATTTGATGCGCCTCGTCGGCGGCGGCCTCGTCCCAAAAGTAGTCGAGAACATGCTCGATGCCAAAGCCGAGCTCGACGGTAAACTCCGCACTGTCATCAACGAATTCACAAACTCCTTTGCTACTCGCATGGCCGCGGCCGTCTCAGAAGGTGCACAGGCGAAAAAGTCGTTCGATCCGCATGCCGCTACACAGCTTGTGCGCAGCGCCATGGAGAAGGAAACGCCGTTTATGCGCAAGCGGTTGGAGGAGTATATCGACGATGTGCGCACACGCGAGACCCTTGTCGCCGCAGTGCAAGACCGGGTCATTGAGCTCTACGAGACTTTCCATGATCGCTATGTGGCGCAGAGCAGGGCAAATGGCAAAGGCTTGCCGAAGAAGGGCAAGGGTAGGGACGATGAGGTTTGGGATGCCGAGGCGTTTGCGGAGTGGGCTGAGGGGCTGTTCAATGTGGGTAGGTTGGCGTTTGAGCAGGATATGGACGAGGATGATGACGTGGGGAGTATGGGGAGTGGAATCAGTCGGAGTGGGAGTACGTAGAGCGACGATGATGAGCCGTTGATGATGAGCAGTTGATGATGAGCAGTGGATGAGCAGTTATTCACGAAGGACAGCACCATCAATCACGGATCCAATAATATAATATCATTCAGGGCCTTTGTCGAGCTTTGTTCAATCTTTAATTCATTCGGTCCCATCTCATGGGTCATCTATATACGTACAGTTCCCAGGCGGCTTGGGCTGGATACATCGCCATTGCATTCCCCATCAGTTGAACTTCAAAAGTGTCCCACCCAGTAACTCCGAGCTCATATGCCAGCGCGTCGGTGGCATCGTAGCACCGATATGACGAATCTGCGTCCGCGCTTCCCAAGTACTGAAAATAGGAAGACATGAAGGGGGAATAAGTTTATGCACGCTCATGAACAGAAATGGACCTCCACCATCTCGTTGAACCGATCTCTTCCTTCTTTTGTACGTTGTCGTCATCGAAACCCATTATTTTGTCGTATGTCTGCGTCCCATATATAACGTCCAGCATTGTTCCCCCTAATGACATCGTCTTCTTAGTCGTCCGTCAGTCTGTCCAGAACGACCATGCTTATTATGATGACCAAGAGACCGATCGTGACTATTATGAGTAGCACGAAGCCGAACCAACCAAGCACCATGGCAGCTGTTCCGACCCCACTTCTCACACTCCCATTGCCTAGATCTTGGGCTACTGTCGCTGCTGCTACGGATGCAGTGTGTTGCCACAATACAGATACAAGCACGAAGATGGAGCTGACGAAGATCAGAGCGAGAGCAATCTGTGAGACAGGTCGAGATGGGAACGGCTTTACATCGACGTCGGAACCGGTTGTTGCGTCACGCTCTTCGTGCCAGCCCGGAAATGTGGCAAGCAGGATAAAGGTGAAGAATGCGAGAACAATTGCTACGATCCTATTGGAAAGGTCAGTCAAAGAGCGGATGGTTATGGCGAATGCATTGACTTACAGCAGGTACGGAAAGACAATGCTATCCTTGAATGTACTCGCGACCCAGATCAGGTTGAGTGGATCCTGGTCTACGCTAACTTGCTGTGCCAGGGATGTGGCATTGCTCGTACATAGCCAGCTGCCGCCATCAGGGTTGACACAGAGACCGAAGTATCCGACTCTAACCTCCATTGAAGCTTGCCCAACAATGTTTGCAATGGCGGATGTGACGCCAGGATCCACTTGCGCGGGATCGTATGTGGGTGCATAGTTTTCGTAGTAGAGGGATATGAGGAATATTCCTGGGATGAGAGGTGATGTTGAGGAGCAACCTGCTAGGAGGAGTGCTGGAATGTCATTAGCATTGGATTGTTGCGCAGTAGGGTCTGAGACTCACAAAGTAGTATGATGGCATTGGCGATTAGGATCATGAGAAGGTGATGAAAGCCGAGGAATGGTATCAGCCCTGTGTTATGTTAGTAATCTGGTCCTGAGATATGGAGGGTTGGGGCGACTACGTACTCTGCATGCTAACCGCAAATCTGAGGTTCGCCATTGCGACTGCCCTTCTCCTTTCCCTTCTTCCTTGCTTGACTCTATACTATCCCTTCGTTCCTCGTACGGCTCCCGAGGGACGGAGAGAGCTGTCCGTCGAGGGATGCAGCCGATGCCGTGTGAGACGGCTGCCGTCTCTGGGTGCGATCTGTCTGGCGATGCGAGGAATGTGGGGTGTCGTATGAGGAATGTCAAAATAAGAGGTATGGAGAAATGTAGCGATAGATGCGGTGGATCGGAATGTACGCAATTCCCGACTTGCAGCTCAGGAATGAAACTATCCAAAGTCTGGTAGCGAATGTATGTTCGACCCTGCGCTTAACTCAAGGGTTAGAAAGTTGAACTTTTGAGATAGATCAAGACTGTTGAGATAGATGTTAGAGCAAAGAGAGATGTAGCTTATTCTGTGTGGAGAGTAGGAAGAATTGTCCGAAACTGCGGTGGCTGTCCTTTTTCCGCAGAGTGCAGTGCATCTGGAAATGGTGAGGTTGGTGATGGCTGGGTGTTTTGGTGTGGCTGGGTAGTCGCAGCAACGCAACGCTCGGACTACCGGGCGACTCGAGACCCTTCACACGTCACTTCCCACGTTTCTGTTCCTGCCTCCCCATTCTCCGCCCAATCAGTATCGCTCTTTCCGCCGTCCGATTGCTCCTTTTCCCCTTTTGATCCGCTTTGTTTGGCGCCGGCGCCTCCATCAAAAGCTTAGCTTCAGGGCTCTGTTATGGCTACAAGCCTTGCAAGGGTTCTGCCTTGTATCTTCAGTATACATAGTACACTGGCCTGCATCTTAATCATTTCTTTTGCATGTGCCGACTGTCACATCTCATGCTTGATGGTTCATCTCGCTGGCTACCAGGCTAGGCGACTGGCTTACCTGATGTCGTGGCAATACACTGTGAATATGACTACGCGTCTTAACTGCTGGACCATTGACATAACCATTACAAGGACCGTTTGCATTTATAGTTAAAGCATAGTAGTAAATGTATTGAGAGAAAAGGTAAAATTACTTCAGTGGTATCATCGTGCTAACAGTACAAAGTAAAGTCTCAGGCCGTCATCAGGTGTAGTTACGCTTTCAACGAGATCTCCCGCTTGAGACGACTTCGATGCTATCCATCAGTCGTCCGGACCACTCTACTTCTTGTTGATGTGAAGAGCGTCCTTGATCTTCTCACCGATGCCACCTCCAGAGGTACCGTGCTCATTTCGGTCCTTGCTGCGGCCAATCTTGTCGCTGGCCTCTTGAGTGTGCGACTTGCTGCCGTCGGGCTGAATACCACTATCGATGATGAGATGACGGAATAAAGAAGTAAAGTAATGACCTTGCTTACCGTACGACCTTGTCACCGGCATCAGTGATATCTTCCTTGGCCTTGGTATGGGTGGATTTGGTGGAGTCTGGGATGATAGACTCCTTCGCCTCTGTGAAGGTGTTAGAGCATGAAGAGCTTGCGTGAGACACTCGACGTACTGGTGGAGAAATCCTTGCGGCCGGCGTCAGTCATGATGATCGAGATTGAGGGTTAGTTTGGTTGGAGTTCAAGTTGGTAAAGTGTGAAGATTGTCTGAGGTTGGAGTGGAAGATGAACAAGAAATGGATTCGCGCTGAGGTGGAGGCTATTTGTATCACTCACGCTTATGTTTCGATGAAAGACATACGTCATCGGTCACACGAAATGGGACAGTACGACGCAGGAATGATCAGGACTGGAAGGCTCGTTGCGGGGAACCTTAACTCATTAGGTGTGAAGCAACTTTCTTGTTCGGACGGGGAGGCCTGTTCATGCTGCAGTAATATGTCATATTACAGACGGCGTTGGATGACGAAAACAGCTAGAGGCCGTGAGATGAACCCTGAAGCCTAGCGAGACTTATATCATTTAGTGTTGAGTCAATGGACGTCACATCACTATGGCGAGTACTCGCTGCATTTAACATCACTTATGGCACGAATATAGATTACCTGCTGTTGCAGGACTCGAGAGACACTGAGAAGTGACGTACGCCTAAGCGTAAGCACGAGTCAGCATGCCAGAAATTCAAGATACCCCTCGCCGGATATCCATAGCTATATACGAACTACCAAGTCAGCTTATTGGCAAACACGCAGCCTGACCCACGACGTTACTTCATACATTTAGTGGCCTCACGCTACAAACTATCTTCTTTGTCCCAGATCGCACTCGGTCGTGCAAGCTCCGCGATTGGTGCCAGCCCTGACCATACAATGTTCAGAGGAATACAATCAACGCCGCTTTACCACAGCCGGCAAAGGTCAACTTGGTCAGCGGGCCGGTGCGAATCCCTACATAGGGTCCATCGTCAGGCTCGTGAAAGCAGACAAGCTAAGAGTGGAGACTCTGTTCCAGAGAGATTCCATGGCACAGCTGACAGTGAAACTGTCCAATGAGTGGCTATTGTTGGGGTTCTTATGTATATGGCGTAGTGTCTATCAAGGCTAATGATTACGTATGGAAGCACGAGCGGGTACTTATGCAGCAGTCCTACTTTTCCAGTCGTGTACGATGCCTTCAAGGACCGACGTGATCAGCTGGAGATCACGCTCTGGCTCAACCGCCCAATTTGATACGGCGAAACGACATGCTGGCAGACCCTTCCATGCAGTGCCAGAAACGTATATCTTTGCCGTCGCTTTTATCAGATCCACTAGCCGATCGTTCAAAGATGCATCTCGTGCGCGGAAGAGTACGATAATGAATACATCATCGAAGCTATCTTTGATGCCTTCTTTTACGGTTCTCTCTGGCAGAAGCTCAAAGTGTGCACTTTCTGTTATGTACTTCGCGATGCCACGTGACAGTCTTACCTGGCGCTCTAGCATCTCTGCGTAGCCATGGCGGCCGTATGCCACGAGAGTCGCATAGACTGGCAGAGCACGGAACCTACGTGAGTTTTCGATGCCAATATTAAGGGGGGATGCGATGTCGCTCGCTGCGCCTCCACTGAGATATGCCGCGTTCGGGTTTTGAAAGACCTGCTCAGCGTTTGAACGGGAACGCGTAAGTATAAATCCACAATCATATGGAACGTTGAGGAGTTTATGACCGTCTCCGGTGATGGAGTCGGCGAGTTCGATTCCGGAAGAAGCCTGGATGAGAGAAGCGTCATCTGCATCCGTCAGGAGTCGTGCGAAGATGCCGAACGCCCCGTCGACATGTACCCAAGCATTGAAGCGGTCGCACAGGTGGCGAATCTCACGCATGTGGCTTTCGCTATGGGTTGCGAATTTGCCTGTGTTCACTTCAGAGCATGATATTGCCACAATACTTGCAACATTGGGCTCTTGAAGCGCGGATTCCAGTTTGGCAAGGTCTATGAGATGCGGTGCGTTCTCGTGGCCGATGAGTTTAATGCATGACCTTCCTAAGCCGAGTATGCTGGCTGCTTTGCTGAGGGAGGAATGTGGTGCTGACGTTAGGACTTGGATGTCCTCTACGCCAGCCTCGCGCATGGCTTTGACCAGACCAGTCTCGCCAACACATGACACGGAATATGCGCCCTTCGCTGTGAGGTGCTTGGAGATGACGGCCTCGCGGGCGCATGCAAGACCTATCACGTTACTGGCTGTTGCACCGGTAGTGAAGGTTCGATGTGGCCATTCCTCGGCATTCAGAGAAAGGAGACTACAGAGCATGCGTAATGCTGCGTCCTCGAGGTCAGTGGCGATTGTTTCGTTGGGCAGATGGACTTGTACGTTCTGGTCATACAATGTAGCTAGATTGTCTGCCAGAGATGCTGCCGCGGTGGATCCTCCGGTAACGAAGCCATAGTAATTAGCTGTGAGGCTGTTGCCATTGAGTGCTGGTTTGATATACCGGGTCAGATGTTCAATGGTGCTTTCCAGACCTATGCCGTTCGATGGTAGAGTTTTGAAGAGCTGGTTTCGTGCTTCAGCAAGCGTTTGCTGGCTTGGGAGAACCTCGCCAGGAACAGCACTATCGAGAAGTCTGTCGATTAGAGATTGGACGTTTGGGAATGATCGTAAGGACTGCATGGTCGATATTGATGTTGTCATGGGTCTTCTGTGAGTATAGTGAGATGATACTAATGACAATATAACGTTGTCCAGGGGTTAAAGCGTTCGAGTAATTTCCTCTAAAGGTCAATATAGATTGATAATTAGTTAGATCAGCGCGAGTCAAATTGTGTCGGCCGGGCAGTTTCCACGGCTAAGACAGACTTCAGGACGCAGGCACTCCAGATAACCTCGTTCATAGTTGCATGCGGCAACATAGCAGACCATGTAATCATCATGATATATGCGTCTAGGCTATCGAGAAGTGATTGAGGCCAGACAAACACATATTAAAGACTTTTGCCACCATCACGTGCGTGCGCGATGTTTATGCCTGATCGCCTCGCGCTAAGCCACGCGACGCGGCGAAGTCACGACTACTTCTCAACCAGCTCGACCTATCACGAATCCGTGCCCATAACGACCAATGCTCTTTGATTCGGGACGGTGCCGATGAGACTCACACTCGACAGTATGAGAGCTCCAGATGACAAGTCATAACCTGAGACAGCATTTGACCTGGCTTCTGTCTTCAAAACCATTCATTCCTCCTCCATCAACCCAACAGCGCGCCACTCGCTCATTCGAGAGCTACCCAAGCTCTGCGACGCTTCAGAACGACATCCCCGCTACCGATGTAACCCATATTGCTCGAGACAATGATACATCATCTCGGAGGGATCATCTACATCAGGAGAATCAGGGTGCCCCGCACCGTGGCGGGGAACAGTCTGTGGACGACATGGCCAGGCTCAAGATTGGTCCCAGCTCTGCTTCGAAGCCTCGAATGCTGATGCTTGCTTCGCCAGACGTCAAGTCTACATCCATCAAGGCTACGCAGGGCCATCGAGGAGCTGTTGTTGGGGAGGGTAAGAAGTTTCATCAGAATGCCGAGCGCCAATTCACAAGACCCATAGAGGACGCTTCTCCAACCGAGCCAGGACCCTACAAGAAGAGAGCAAACCCCATAGACATACATCAATTGCCACCTACTCCTTCCCACAAATTTCACACCGTTGATCTGACAGAGGAGCGCCCCGCCAAATCACAGCTCAGTAAGAAGAGAACGAGCGAGGAATATGGATTCGATACACCATCCAGGCGTCATAAACCAAAGAAGATCAAGGACGAAAGACTTCTCACTCGAGAGCTTTCTAGCCCCTCAAGGGCAGAATTTGTTTCAATCGACGACTTCGACCAGCCAAACGACCCCCCGCCGCCGTACTCAACAGTCGCGCGGTCTCGTCCTGTCTTGCAAGCAGACGTAGCTCCTTTTGATGCTGCACTCGATGAATATGACGAATCATTATTTGACGGGCACGATGACGAGGAATGTGTTATCGAAGGAAAGGTTCTGTTTCGCACGAGCTCCAGAAAGTCCCCCAGTCGATTAGCATCAGGCACACGGATTACCGACGGGACCGAAAGTCTTAATGCACCTCCATCGCCTAGGCACACTCCACCAAAGACTATACATACCGTCGAACAGTCTAAGAAACCTCAAGTCCGAGCAAAGGCGCGGGTAGTTGAAGATTCGGAAGACGAGTACGACATCGATATGTCAGATCACGAACCAGAGACAGCTCAACCCCAAAACAAAACTTTTTCCTCTCCGCGAAAACCGCTACGAACCACTGAGCCGGCCGGTCAATCAGTCAGAACGAACCTTGGAAGTCCAACAAAATCTCCGCTGTGTACGGCGCCGCCGCCTAGAGTACGAAGCCAAAGCCCCGAGAAAGCTCAGATGGTGCAAGAAGTCGAGTCTGCACTCTTACTGCGAAGAAACGAGGCTGACCCTGCTGCTGATGCAAACCGCATGGTGTCTGATCCCACGAAGACACCCATCTTCAGTTCCCAAAGCATAGGCACGACTAGCTTGTCTATGGAAGAGAAAGCCAAAGTCGATATCTTCGTTGGCTGGCCTGACTCGGAAATGCAAGAGTTGGTCAACGAAGCACGAGCGAGAGTTGATCAACTAGAGGAAGAAGCCCTTGAACAAGAATTCACCGGTACTTCTGCACCCGATTTGGCCGCCCAGACTGATAAAATCAAAGTCCGCCTTCAGAGACTTGAGTCGTTACAGCGCTTGACAAGAGTGCATAGACGTCATGTAGAGAGAAAAGATAAGCTTTGGCAGAATTTACAGGCAGTCTTCAGTGAAGGTGGTATGCCAGAACAAGCGGAGAGTGATGAAAACAGAGATCTCACAAACCGTATTAAGAAGACATCGGCAACCATCTTCATGTCGCTGCAGGAGCTGGGAATCATTGACAGCACAGGGCACATCTGGAACGTGCGTGATCCATCCAAACCTACTCGAGTGATGGTGCACTCGACGCAAGTGAGCCCATTCAACGGTGTGGGACCCGAGCCTGTGCTGAGTTCGAGCGGTATTCGTCAGACACAATATGCAGGTAATGCTCAAATCAAAACTGGAGGAGCGGACAACTTTATCAATAGTCGAAAAACCAGCCATATTCCGCGACCAGACCAGTCCGGAAGACAGAGCCCTTTGCAGCAAATACCTCACAAAGCGCCATCCCACAGAAACCCATCCCCTACTAGGAATAAACAGTACGTCCATGAGGCTGGTTTCGAGGACGATGCAAACCTGTTTGAAAATCAAGTCTTCACTCACAACATGGGTGGCATAGTCCATTCAATCAGTGACGACGAAGAGGAAACGTACGGGGATTCGGACGAAGAAGGAATATTCGCAGAGATTCCGGATTCTGCCACTGAAAATATTGAACCACATCGGGTTGTACCCCAACCTAATCCCTTTTTAAAGCCAGCGATTCCGTTGAACAGGCCGAGCAAGATTCTATCAGAAAGCTCTGGAAATCAGGCCAAACAGCCGTACGCCTCACAGCATAGCACGCAAGGCAAGTCACAAGCAAAAGGAAGCAGCCCGAAACAACGGCATAAATGGACGACAGAAGTACACCGAGTGCTGAAGAATACATTCCACATGAAGGGCTTTCGTCCACATCAAGAGGAAGCGATCAACGAGACCTTGGCTGGGCGAGACGTCTTTGTTCTCATGCCTACTGGTGGCGGGAAATCTCTCTGCTACCAACTCCCGGCTCTTGTCAAGTCTGGGAAAACTCGTGGGGTCACAGTCGTGGTCTCACCTCTTCTGAGTCTCATGGAAGACCAAGTGACTCACTTGAAAGACCGACTAGGAGTCGCGGCCTTCTTTATCAATGGCGAAAGTACACGAGAGCATCGTAACTTCGTCACCAGTGCCCTGAGGGATTCAAGGGTGGAAGATTACATCAGTATGCTCTATGTCACGCCTGAGCTGCTCAGCAACAGTCCTGGCACAGTCCGAGCGCTGCATGACCTGTACAATAACGGCCTTTTGGCAAGGCTGGTCATTGACGAGGCACATTGCGTCAGTCAATGGGGTCATGACTTCAGGCCAGACTACAAAGCTCTGGGCGAGGTTCGGAAACAGTTTGAGGGCGTGCCGTTAATGGCGCTGACTGCCACCGCTACCGAGAATGTCAAGGTCGATGTTCGTCACAATCTGGGAATGGGAAACTGCAAAACCTTGACACAGAGTTTCAATCGACCTGGACTGGAGTATGAGGTTCGAAAGAAGTCTCGAGGGATTCTCGGCGAGATTGTCGAGTTCATCAAGGCCCGGCACCGTGGCAAATGTGGCATCATATACTGTCTGTCGCGGAAGAAGTGTGAAGACGTGGCGGCCAAGCTGACCAAGGAGCACGGCATGAGAGCCAGTCACTTCCACGCTGGAATGACGCCGGCTGATAAGAGTCAGACGCAGCGAGACTGGCAAGCAGGCAAGATCCACATTGTCGTGGCCACAATCGCTTTCGGCATGGGCATCGACAAGCCGGATGTCCGGTTTGTCATACATCACAGTATACCTAAAAGTCTGGAAGGCTACTATCAGGAGACTGGGCGAGCTGGACGCGATGGCAAGAAATCCGAGTGCGTTCTCTTCTATGGCTATCAAGATGCTGTAACGCTCAAGAAGATGGTCGATGACGGCGAAGGCGACCGACAGCAAAAGGATCGGCAGAACCAGATGCTCCGCAAAGTCGTTCAATTCTGCGAGAACCAGAGCGACTGCCGCAGGGCGCAGGTACTTCTGTACTTCAACGAGCCCTTTACAGCCTCTCAATGCCGCAAGACGTGCGATAACTGCAGATCATCGTCCAGGTTCGAGATGGTAGACTTTTCTGAATACGCCGCAGGTGCCATACGCTTGGTTGATATTCTGAAAAAGCAGGTGACTGACCGAAACGGATTCACGCTTCTGCACTGCGTCGACGTCTTTCGTGGTGCAAAGAACAAGTCTATCACAGATCGAGGTCATAATCGATTAGAGGAGTATGGGCAGGGGTCTGATCTAGCTCGCGAAGACCTTGAACGTCTCTTTTACCATCTGATAAGCGAGAACGCGTTGCAGGAGTATAGCGTGGTGAATGCAAAGGGGTTTGCCACCAGCTACCTGACGGTAAGGTTTTTGGGCAATTTTCACAATGACAGAGCTGATCAAGCATAGATTGGACCTAGGTTCCGTGCATTCCTAGAAGGCAAGGTTCCTGTGCAACTACAAGTGCGTGTGACGCCTCGGGCATCTAGAGTGGTGGATAAGCTCGGGCCGAAGAAGACAAGCAAGAAGAAAGCAGCTACAGCAGCAAAGTCTACCACTGGGGTGAAGGCTGCTCGGGCAATGCCGATATCGACCAATGTGTCCTCGCCCGTCCAGATGTCCTCACGGCGCAATGCAGTAAAGAAGCGTCGCGTGTGCGAGGACGAGGAAGACGACGACGACGACGAAGGCTTTGTTGTGCCAGACCACGAGCCAATACGGGAGGAGAGCGATGACGAGGATGCGTTCCAAGCTGCCGCCCGATCGGCCAGAGCGCACCGCAAGGCGCCGGCCAAGAGGCTGAGTGAGCCAATCACTCTGGACGCAAGAATGGCAGAGCTCGATGATGTGCACGCCGACATTGTGGAGCAATTCGTGGCGGAGGGGAAGAAGGAATGCATGAAGATCCGCCACCAGCTGCAGCTGCGCTCGCAGCCGTTCTCGGATACGGTGCTCCGCGAAATGGCAGTCAACTGGCCGGCCGACCTGAAGGCGATGGAGAAGATACCGGGCATCTCCCAGCTGAGCATCGACGCGCACGGCGCACGCATCATGCGGATCCTGGAGAAGTACAAGACCTTCTACGACGATGCCACGCGCCAGGGCGAGGAGGTTGTCGAGGATCCCAACAAGCGGATCGTCAACGTGATCGATCTCTGCTCGGACGAGGAGTTTGGCAGCGACATTGATCTCACCGCCGACGACAACGACGACGACGATGATGATGACGAGGAAGAAGAAGATTCAGGCCCGCTGCAGACATCAGGCTACTTTTCAAACAACTCCCGTCGTCCCGCAGACAGACCCGCAGAGGGAGGCCGACGAGAGCAGACGGACCGCCAGCGGGAGCGAGACAACGCGATGGTCTACCACGACATGTCCGCAGCGGCCTACGAGCAACGCCCCGCCTATCCGTATGCGCGTCACGGTGGTGCCGCACAGACAAAAGGTCGGGCAGCAGCAGCAGCATCAGCGAGTAGTGGTGGCGCCGCCCGTGGACAGTGGAAGAAGGGGTTCAAGACTGGTGGTGGTGGTGGTGGAGCGAGATCCAGGACGTCGTCGTCGTCGGGGGCAGGGGGCAGTTTTAAGAAGGGGAGGAGTGCGGCTGCGGCTGCTGTCAAGAGACATAGTGGTGGAGGGTCGTCGATGCATAGACGAGCTCTGGGCGGTGGTGGTGGGGGGATTGGCATGATGCCGGTTTGATTGAAAGAAGAGGTTGTGGAGATTATGTAGCTGTAGCAGATGTATCTGCGGCAGATGTATCTGCGGCAGTCGGGTGTCATGCATACACGTTTTGACGTAGCGTACGTAGTGGTATATGTATATTATCTTATTGTGTCTGCCACACGCTCAATCGCGCGAGAAGTGGCGGAGTTGTACATGACCTACCTTGTTCTTTTGCCAATCTAAGGTTTGGTTTGCCATTGTCTGGTTCTATTCGGTGAATGTATGGATGACAGGATAAATGGGTATTAATTAGGTGGTGATATCAGCGTTCTGACTTCTTATATATATACCTGCCGGAGACGTATCAAATTTACAAACTCTACCCAACTACCACTCTCGCCGTCCCCGTCCCCCTCAGATACCCCAGCACAGCATCAAGAACTCCATCCACACCCCTAACAACAACATCCGGCCTACCATCCCCATTCCCATCCCCGTTCCCATCTACGCCAATCCCATCTGCCCCATCCCCATCTGCCCCATCCCCATCCCCCCCCTCACCCCCCACACAAAAACCCAACCCATCAACCCACCCGTCCCCCTCCCGATCCACCCAACAAGCCCGCATGCCCACGGCTTTCGCACCGACAACATCAAACGCATTCCCACTCACGAGCCACACATCGGCCATTTGCGCCCTCGTCGTCTTGCCGGTTTGCTGCGCGAGGTGGAGGTAGACGTCGGGTGCGGGCTTGTATTTTTTTGTGTCTTCGACGGTGATTATGGGGTCGTTGGAGGGGTGGCAGATGGTGTTGTTTTCGTTGGTGTTGTTGGTGTTGGTGTTGGTGTTGTTACTAGAGGGATGGAAGAGGGTGGATAAAAAGGGCGTGAGGGCGGGCGTGGAGTGCAGGGCGGTGGATATCATTTCCCGTGTGCCGTTGGTGAAGATTACTGCTTTGATGGGCGGGGAGGTGGAGTGCTGGGACTGTTGGTATGTCTCGAGGTCTTTGAGGCCCGGGACGACGTCCGGGAAGGGGGCGAGCGCGGTGGTGGTGTAGGCGTGCATGATGGCGTTTGTGGACTGGGTGTCGAGAGGGGTGTTGTGGGTTGCTAGGGCGTGGGTCAGGGCGGCGCGGGTGAGGGTATGGAAGGGCTTGTATTTGCCTGGTTTGTTAGTCGGTCTTGTTCTTGGTCTTGTTGTGGGTGTGGGTGTGTATGGTAGTGGTGGTGGTATGAGAGGTATACCCATGCTTGTGAGGCGAAAGGTGTATTCGAGCTGGAGACGGCGCCATTCGGAGGCTATGGAGGGGGCTTTGGCCGGGTTGACGTGGGCGGCGAGGGTGTTTGTGATGGTGGATGGGGAGAGAAGGGTGCCGTAGGCGTCGAAGGCGAGGATGACGGTGGAGGACATGATGGGAGGTGGGTGTCTACATGGGAGGTTTGTGGGAGGTGTATATAGCGAGTACGGGTGGATGGATGGATGAGGTAGTATGGTATGGACGGTGTGTATTAGTCGATATGATGTAATTGAAGGTCATGGTATGCGGGGCAGGTGTTGAGCGGGCGGTTGGTTGAGGCAGTGGTTGTTAGATGTGATGAGTACTGAAGTGGAGAGTGGAGACTAGATTTGGTAGTATTAATTGTTGCTGCTAATTATGAAGTATATACGGTGTCGTGGCTTTGAGGTGGAGTTGAGCGAAGGGACGAGAGTGAACGCGATGTCGTCACAACTTCACGAGCATCGAGCCCCACCAGGCATTAAGGCACCAAGTCTTCAGGCACCAAGTCCCCAGGCACCAAGGCACCATACCCTGAGGCGCCAAGACATGTGCCAAGTCCCGCACAGACCACTCGATGAAAATTTCCCACAAGCACTATAAAAGCTCTTCCCGCCCACCGTCCAGCTTCCGGTTCTTCATAAAACTGTAACCCTCCACATATTCACTCTGTTGGCCGTGACTACTATCGCAATGGGTCAGGCGGAGGGGAAAGCGGAGGGGAGAGTGAGATGCATTGGATATACAGTGCAGGTCGCATCGTAACTTACCCCCCGGTCGTTTCTGCGCACGATGAGGGCTGGGGAAATTTATGCTGGTGCGGTACATGTCTTTGTGGGCTTGGTGGGAGATGGGAGATGGGTAGCGTGGTGATTGGGATTGTGATGATGGGTTTATGCGTGCGTGTGTGTGGTGGAGTAGAGTGGCAGTTCCGCGTCGCTGTGGATGTGGGTGTGGGTGTGGACGGATGTGTGTGTGATGTGATATCGTGTGCTTCGTCTGGCATCACAACAACAAACCCACACCATCTATCTATTGACCACAATCCACCATCCGCACCCCTCCGAGCGCAATTCACACCACCTTTCCCCACCTAGCAATTCCAGCTCGCATACAACTCCCTCCCATCGACACCATCGAATGACGGTACGACCTCAGGCAACGCACAAGTGCGTATCATATCATGGCATATGGCACACATTCCTGACAAGTGGGTGCACTGGACAGGCCAGGTAGTTAGGCAGGTATTAGGTCTTGGACCGGTAATTATGCGTTGCATGGACGCAATAGGGATTCTAGAAGGGAGGAGTAGAAGAGCAGAGAATAGGATGATGTGCGTCTGCTATATTTAACGGTGTCGCGCTATGTGCAGCTGCATGCAATAGCTGCGTGAGTGACAGACAGCTAGACAGTAGTAGCTATCCAACAAGCACAAGCACAGACAAGCATAAACAAGCGGACAAGCAGACAAGCAGACAAGCAGACAAGCAGACAAGCAGACAAGCAGACAAGCAGACAAGCAGACAAGCAAAGGGATCCCTCTCCATCTCCACCCATATCCATCTCCATATCCATCCCCACCCAGTCGACCCGCCCGCCCGGATAAATACGGCATGCCAACCCAAGCCATCCGTTCGCATCCAACATGTCAAAGCCAAGCCACATCACGTCTATATATACACTGGACATGTATATAAACAAAGCTAGACATGCAGCAGCAACCGCATTCGGACTGCTGGGTCATACTCTGTAACTTTTTCGGCGGCTTTGTCGGCATGGCATGCGTGTGTCATGGCTGGCATGCACGTCAGCTAATTATGTCAGGAAGGTGTTGTTAGGCAGGGATGGGTGGTTGTGTGTTGTTGTTGTTGTTGTTGTTGCTGCTGTTGGAGGGGTTCAGGAGGTTGAGGGGAGTAATTAGGTAATTAGGGGCAAGACAAGGGAATAGGTATTTGAATTGAAGCAGTATGCAGCGGACTATTGACGTGGGCAAAAAGAAAAGAAATCCGGTGCGTATAATGTGTACTGGTACTGCTGCAGCTGCGTATATTCTGGCGGCTGCAGCGGCGGCTTTGACGTTCGAACTGCCTGCCTGTTCGCTTGTGGATTGGGGGACATGGACGTATGGACGGACGTATGGATGACCTCGCGTGGCATCTCACGTGTCTTTCAGACGGCACGGTCAGGTCGTCGTCCTAATTACATATTATATGCAGCTACTGTACACAGTTGTCGCGAAAAAGGCACAGACAGGACGAGGGTGTGTATACATACTAGCGCAGGAACAGCACGAGCAGCGCGTGCATCTAATTCGCGAGCGTAGTGTGCCTAGGTATGTATGTATGTATGTGAGGTAGGAAGCATGCAAGGTACAGTATGTATTATTGCGAGTTGGCCTAGACTCCCTCCGAGGTAATCAGTTGTTAGCGGGCCGTTTGTTCCCGCTGATCTAGTTCGCGCCCGGGGCAGGCAGTGCAGGCAGTGGAGAGAGTGAGATGGATGATGATACAGGCACGACGGGGGGATGAAACGCGTGTGAGTGACAGACAGGCATGGATGGTCATGATGCTCAGATGCTGGAGGATGGCGGTAGTAGAGACAGCAGAGATTGGCGACATATGAGCACATGCGAGAGAGGGTGGAGGAGCACGCAAGAATGAGGATCGACGGACGGACGGGCAGCGAGCCATACGTCCATACGTTCATACGTCCATACGTCCATACGTCCATACGTCCATCATACATCCATCCATGGGCGAGAAAGGGGCTGTTCTGTTGCTGCGTTGGACGGTCAGACTGCGCGGTAGAGGAGCGAGTGCGTGGTGGTGGCTGCAGCTGCAAAAGCTTAATAAGGGCTGCTAACGGGCATAATCTACTTTCTGCTATAGCCATACCTGCTATGCTACCTAGTCGGGTACGTCGTGGTGGAAGGTGTAATTCCAGGCTGACATGCGCCGTAATCTATGCCGAGTCATGGCTTGAAGCAGACAAAGACCCAGTGTGGAGTGTAGTCTAGCTACTTCGAGGCATCTTCTGCCTGTTTTGCATACCTTAGTAATCCCCCGTCATGTATCCATCCACTACTGTCCAGCACGCCCAATGCCGTTTAAGCTTTCCCGGCTGCCTTGGTGGACGACGCCGCCGTTTCTTCTCGACCTTCTTTGCAGTCAATCAATTAATAGTTGGCAGCACACTCTCCTCACACATGATGACTATATCCACCACTCTCATCTTTCACAGTCACTTTGCCGGACTCGTGGCCTGAACGGCAGATGCAGCTAGTCCGTACGCAAGCGAAGATTGATGCGTCTGAAAGAAGACTGCCATTATGTAGATGCTGGCTGCTGGCTGGTAATTAAGGGGGGTTGTATGCAGGCTATAGGGCGCCATATAGGGCTAACCTTAGGGGGGTCGTCGTCGTCTTTAGCGCCTACACCCCCCCAATTTCGCGCGGCAGTGGCAGCTAATCATTCGCTGGTTGGCGCGTTTGGAGCCCGCAATTGCTGCTGCTGGCTGGCTGGCTGGCTGCCCCTGAGATCCCACCGGACCTTTCTGCCTTTTTTTTCACCACCCACTAATTACACTGCATACGCTACTACACTATTCTTCTTCATTCACTCACTCACTCTCCTCCATCCGTGAAACAACTCTCAACTATACTCCACCTTTCAAACCTTACTCTCCCTCTCTCTCTCCATCCATCCACTAATCACAGACTACTACCACTACCACTCTCAGACCCTCCGAAACGGCCCGCTCCCTCCTCAATTGACTTTCCACCGCTCGCCTGCCCACTATTGATTCGACCTTTTCGCTCCACCTCACTTACCACAACAACAACAACAACAACCACCACCCCGGGCCTTGTCGTCTCGTCTTCTTTCGCATTACACCCTTCATCCTGACTGACTGCTTCCGGCTCTCTGTTCAAGACTGGACGTCCAATCCCGTCCATGCCTTGACATGCCCGCCGTCTGATCCCGCTTTCGCTTTTCGCTCGCATCCCTACAACTCACTTCCCCTTCCGTCAAACCTTCATTCACCCTTTCAGCCTCCTGACGGTCCGTCGCTCGGACTGCCGTCTGCTGCTGCCATGCGCGACCAATCGCCGCCGAGGACACCGCCCAATGCGGACGGAAGAAGGATCCGGCAAGCTTCTGTGCGCCAGCTCCATTCCCACCACGCTGGGCCTGACGAAACCTTCTTTCACGACCATGCCTCTCCTGTCCAGCGCCATCATCACCATCAGCTCCAGCATCACCAGCATCATCATCATCGGTCCGACAACATGGACTCTTCTCCACGCGACTCCCATGATCTTGCCATGGATCATCACACCAGGGACTCTGTCGTCGACAACATGCTGCTATCCTTGGACCAGATATCTTCCACCGGCCTCGGCGCCTTTTCTAATCCTGTCCCTCCCTACGCCTCCCTTGACGACGATGACGGCGACGACGACGAGAACGACAACGACAACGAAGAGTACTACACCCATGACACTCACTACGCGCCTCATCCTCATCCTCCGCCTCCTCAAAGACCGCCTCGAGCTCGTGGCCATACTTACTCGTCCTCCAATCCCTCCGACTATGATCCCAATCCTACTACTACTGCCCACCACCACATCTTCACCTATCCCGACTACCACCAACACACTCGACAGAGCAACAGCACCTCCAAATTCAACACCACACGCACAACAACAACCGATACACACTCTGTCTGGGCCGCGCAAGAGCAGCAGCAGCAGCAGCAAAGAAGAAGTCACAGTCGAGGTCCACGACAGGGCAGCAAGAGCAGTGCTTCCTCGAGCATGGACTACGGTCAGAGGCTGCCGTTGACGGCTCCTCGTCCACGCCGTGTTCATAGATCGGCTAGCCTCGACATCAACTGTGGTCCGCTGCAGCAGCAACAACATCAACAACAACACGTTCTTCACGACCCTCATGCCGACCTGTCTGGCGTCATGGGGCGTGGTCGACCGGTACCCGTCACCTACCACAGCTTCGAGGCTGCCCCTTCACCGACCGTCTACTCTGGACCACAGCGGTTTGGCGATACACCCCTAGGCTCTCCCGCATTTCCTCCCCAGCCCATCTGCGCTCCTCCACAGATTCCCTCCTCGCGAAGAAACAGCATTCGTTCTGCGACGAGCAGGAGTAGGAAGCCCTCGAGAAGTGCATATCCGGATGCTGCCGTCATGGCACAGGCAAACGAGTTCTACCGAGCAGCCGCTCGCGATGGCGCTCATGACCCCATCGCTCCAGGTCCGAATGTGATGAGCCACCACCTGAAGCACGGCACTGACGCTGCTGCTGCTGCTGCTGCTGCTGTCAGTCAGTCCTCGCCCAAGGAAAAGCCCGGCTTTTTCCGTCGAGTCTTTGGCGGCTCGTCGCGGAAGGAGAATAATCAACCAGCCGCCGCCCCTCCCCCACACACTGCCGGCCAGTCTGTTGAATCAAAGAGAGTGGACGATCGCCCAAAGACTATGCAGCACGGCCCTCCTTCTGCTGCTGCTGCCCGAAATATGCCGGCCACTGTTGGGCGTCCGGCCTCCAAGACGCTCTCCAAACCGCCCCCTCCCTCCTCCTCCTCCGTCATCAACCATTCTTCTTCTTCCGCCGACCAGACATCTAACCATCATCAACAACCCCAGGTCTCCGCGCCACCACCACCCACCCTAAACAAGAAGCATTCCTCCTTCTTTCGCCGCCGCAAGAAGTCGGTCGTCGAGACCTTGCCACCCACCCTGGTGCCGCTTCAGCTTCAAGCCATCCGGAATGCAAACGTCGATCGTCCACAAGACAGTCCCGGTGCCAGCAGCCTGTACAAAGCAATCGATCCGTTCCTTCATGATGATGACAACGCTGCCCGAATCAACTCTGTAAGCGCACCGCGTCAACACAGCGGCAACTCAAAACCAGCAGACGACGACGACGACGACAACACTCCTCCCATGCCCCAGCACGACGCAAGAAGAGTACGCGAGGGACAGGGTGTAGACTACTCGTGGCGTGGTGGCACAGAACAATATTACAGTGACGATCCCCCACCACCATCTCGCGGCCGTCTCGCGAAGAATTTCGACAACACAATGAACTCGGATGGGCCGAAGCTCAAGCTCAAGGTCAAACGCGGCAAGGTCATACCAGCCAGCGAGCAAGACACCACCTTCTTGGCCGACAGCAGCGGCGCAGAAGACCGAGAACCGACCGGCAAGCCTGCTACAACGACCTTGTCGACGCTCGGTCCGAAATCGCCGACCCATCCAGCATCGTCATCGTCATCATCATCCACCACTCCATTGCGATCCCCTGCCGCGGCGGCGGCGGCAGACGTGCCGACTCCAAAGGCAAACTCGGCAGAGAAACGTGCCAAGCAGAATGAATTTCGCAAACTGCAGCAAATCGACACGAATGTCGGTTCCGCGGGCGCCAGCACTAGCAGGCAGCAGCAGCAGCAGTCTTCGCGCGCCATCGCCGCCAATCGTCTCTGGCTAGAGCCGACCTCTTCCGACGAGAAGCTGGACCAGGACGCGCTGCTGCGATCGCCGACGACGACAACGACGACCATGTACGAGGATGCGCGGAGCAGCCAACCTGCCTCTGCCGCCGCCGGCCATCGCTCGCCATGCTCGGCAACCGACGAGTTTTATTCTACGACAAGCCTACCCATTGTGCAAGTCAATAGCACTGAAGCTGCTGCTGCTGCTGCTGCTGCTGCTGCAGGGCGGCCAAATCATATTACCGACCACGACAACGACGAACATGACGACCACGACCCCCACGATGACCACGAGCCCACCGAAGAGGATCGTGACAGGGCTGCAAAGATCTTTGGCGGTGATGAAGAGTTTACCAGCAAGTTCAAGGCCGCCGCCTGGCTCGGAGAGGCGTCCAAGAAGGCATCCAGGACTCGCAAGGCCTACATGGAGCTCTACGAATGGTCTGGCCAGAGCATCGTCTCGGCTCTGCGCGACATGTGTACCAAGCTGCTCCTCAAAGCCGAGACCCAGCAGGTCGATCGTGTCCTCGCGTCGTTTGCGCTGCGCTGGTGGGACTGCAACCCGAACAATGGCTTCAAAAGTACCGATCTCGTCCATGCCATCACCTACTCCATCCTCCTGCTCAACACCGATCTGCACATGGCCGACATTGAGCAGAAGATGACGCGCGCTCAGTTTGTCAAGAACACCATGCCAACCATGCGTCGCCTCGCCGAGGAGGCAACAGCAGGACAACAACGACAACAACAACAAGAAGACGAAGCGGACGAGCTTGCCGCCACGATCAAAGCTATGAATCCCCACCGCAAGGCCGGAGAGGAGCAGAGAGGCTTTGTCCCGTGGGTGCAATGCCCAGAGCCCCCGCCGATCCGTCCTCGATCGGGGCGCACGACACCCAGCGAAGATAACAACAACAACAACAACAACAACAACAACGACCGCCCTTCTCTGGAAAGCAAGCGATCGCGCAACCGTCTCTCGATCCGACCGCCTGCCTTTCGCACAGATTCAGACGACGCTCCGGCAGCCAACGCGCATGCCGACAACTGCACCGTCCTGGTCAAGGCACCATACGAAGGACCGCTCAAGGGCTGGGAGACGCAGGTGGAGATTGTCCTCAAGGAGTTTTATAATTCCATCCGCAACCATTGCCTGCCACTCTACGGCGCAGAGCAGGAGCAGTCTGCCTACACAACAGCAACAAAGTCCTTGGCTGTCGGCTCGCACCTGAGACGGACACCCAGCGTTCTTAGCAAGGCAAACTCGGAGCATCTGAGCTATAGCGGCCGTTCGGTGGACTTTCGGACTAGCCATGCCCGGTACAACTCGAAGAATCGCTCGCGCCCTCATCTCTATCCAAACTCGACGGTCGGCTCGTCTCGCACCAGTCTGGACGACCAGTCCGTGTGGAGTCCGGCCCAGTCGAGTACGTGGAGCAAGTACTCGCTGGGCAAGACGCAAGCCTCGATGATGTCTGTCGACTCCTTGGGTTCGCATTTTGCCGCGGCCGACTACCAGCAGTCGATCGGATTCGCCAACGCGCTCAGCCAGGCCATCATCCGCGAAGAGGGCATACCCAACTCCCTCAGCAGCGAAGAGTTTACCAAGGTCGCACCGCTGCTGGAGGATGAAAGCCTCGAGCTCGCTGGCGCCCCCTGGGCCAAGGAAGGCATCCTGAAGCACAAGCATCTCATGGACGCGCCCGACAAGAAGGCCAAGGACCGTGGCTGGAGCGAATGCTTTGCCGTGATTGAAAAGGGCTACATGCGCCTGTTTTCCTTTGGCATGAACTCCAAGTCGCTGCGACACAAGAACAAGTCGAAGCTGTCGGGCGGCGGCGGCGGCGTCGTCGTCGGTGGTGGCAACTGGGCGGAGAATGCGGAAAACATGGGAAGCTTCCTGCTGCGACAGACGATTGCAAACGCCCTGCCCCCGCCAGGCTACTCCAAGACGCGGCCAAACGTCTGGGCCCTCTCGCTGCCCGGCGGCGCCGTCCATCTCTTCCAGGTCGGCACCGTCGATATCGTGAGAGAGTTTGTCTCGACCGCCAACTACTGGTCCGCCCGCCTGTCCAAGGAGCCGCTCACCGGCGGTGTCAGCAACATCGAGTACGGATGGGGCGAGAACGTCATCAACTCGGCGCTGATCCGCCCCGAGAGCAGCGCCGCCGCCGCAACAAACCACCACCACAACAGTGTTTCGCTTCCGCGCGCGAGCACGCAGTCTTCCATCCGCAGCTCGCTCGACTACCAGGGCAATGTCCGTGCCCGGCTGCCCGGCGACAAGGTGCACATTTCCGAGTGGAAGCCGCCTGTGAGCTCGATGATGGCCAGCACGCTGCTTGCCGTCGACCAGCTGCGCGCGCTGCAGGCGTATGTGCGCAACATTGAGAGCGAGCTCGCGCGACACAACGACCTGCGCCCGCCGATGCTCATCGCCTTTAGCCCGCGACACCCGAATGCCGGCAAGGCGCTGGCGAACTGGGAGAAGAAGAGCAGCTATCTGCTCAAGGAGATTGTCAAGTTCCGCACCTACATTGAGGCCTTGCAGAGCGCCGAACGCGCCAAGCTGAAGATTGCCCGCGAGAAGGACGCGGAGCGGGCCAAGGCGCAGGAGCACGATCCCCTGAGCGCCATGAGCGTCGAAGTCGACGACGGCGGCATCGATCCCGCCATCGGGCGCTACATTTCGTGAATCTGCCCTGATGTCCTGTCCTGATGGCGTCCTGTCCTGATGGCCTGATGGCCTGATGTCCTGACGTCCTGATATCCTGATGGTCCTGACGGGGAGGACATTACACACCCACACATATACATAATTCAGGCGTACTACTTTCTTTGTTGGCTGATACCCCCTTCCCTCTCTCCTTTTTATTTTGGCTTGGAATCTCCACTTTGCATTTCATGCACCCTTTTCCCCCTCTTCTAATATGTCGTCGCTTCCCGCCTGCCTAGCACGGCTCCTTTTTTTGTCTTCTGCTTTGTGATGAATGAAAGCCACGATTTCACGACGAGACGGGACTTGCGACCTTTTTTTCTTTCGTTGGTGGCCGGCACTGGCTATGGCACGCATGGTATGGTGTGGCATTGCATGGTATGGCCTGCATGGTGTGTGGCATGGAAGTATTGTGAGGCTGTATATACAACATGGTAGTTGAGAGAGAGAGAGAGAGAGAGAGAGAGAGAGAGAGGGCATGTGTATCTACTACGTTCCTCCCCGAGGAACCAACCCCCTAATAGGACGATGCAAAGAAATGAACGTCTGCCAACCGCATCTTTTACGTGTTTTGCTACCCATTTTTTCCCACATTGGCTGGTTGCGCGTACTACTAAGTGAGTGAGTGAGTGAATGATAATATCATCATTAGCATTAACAACACAATCCACGAATTTGGGGGGGCGTTCTATTTTTATGGTTTTCCTCTTATCCATCTTGGCTATGGTGGTATAATAATAATGATGACTAAAATCATCTTACATGGTTGTTGGGTACCCTTTCTCTTCTTTTTTCCATGATTTCATTGATTTTGTATGTATGTATGTATGTATGGATGTATGTATGTATGTATGTATGTATGTATGTATGCTCAGGTCCTCTTTCGGCGATGATGTATGTTTAGAGTACGTGCTCTTGTTATGGATGGGGTAGATGGATGGATGGATGGATGGATGTATAGATAGATGGATGGATAGATAGATAGAGTGTAGATAGATTTAGAGAATGGAGGGGGTTTGGGTTGGTGGGTTTAGGTTGGTAGAGATGGATTGGGATTATTATACGAGGCTGCTATGGAGTAAAGAACAGGGTGTGTATATGTGTGTATGTGATTGGCTTCATATACATATATATATTATATACTCTCTCTAGTAAACTCCTCTCGGCGGGGTAGAAGACCGAAAATTCGCTTTATTTTCCAACTTCTCGTTCTAATGGATTAATATAAAGTCTTTTTTTTTTTTTTTTATATAGTAAAAATATAGGCCGTCCGTATCTATCTATTCTTGTTTATATATATATATATATATATATATATATATACAAGTATTAATATAACGGGTAAGAAGAGATAAAGAAGGTAGGGGGTAGGTAGTAGTAAGTAGTAAAGTAGGGAAATCGAACTTGGAAATATAGTAAGTAGTAGTAGTAGTTGATGGAATTCTTTCGAGTTTTACTAGTGTCTAATGAGAAAGAGAGAGATATGTATACATGTCGTTTATAGATAAGAAAGAAGAAGAAGAATAAGGATATATCTTGTATGTATATCCCGCTCTATGTGCGAAAAATAACTAATCAGGGGGTTGACATTGTTTCTTCTTTGGCCTATGTATCTTTTTTTTTCTTCTACGCGCTACTACGCTTCTGGTAGATTATACGAGCAAGAGGACCTCTGGGAGGATGGCGAGTTGCATGCATGTATGCTCTCAGCCTTGTTTTTGTCCCCCCTGGGCAACCGCCACACACCGCTGAGATTCCCCACCGTAATCTCGATCGCGCGCTGAGATGGTCCGTCTGTATGCGGGTTAGATTGTTAGATTGCCGCCGGGCGCTAGGCTGGATGGGGTAGTTTGTCGGCTGCCGGATACGAGATGGCGGTGCTAAGCGAAGGGGCAAAATCAATCAATGCGCTCGCTCCTCGTCTTTTTTATTCGAGGCCAAGGCGGGATGATGGTGGTGGTGGTGGTGGTGATGGCATTTGTGGTATGGGGTGCGTGTGGCTGACTGGGTTTGTTTTGGGTCCTTTGGGGGAGGAGCGGGAGTATAAAGTGTCGTGGGATGGCTTGGTTGGGAGAGGTTCAGGTGTCGAACTTACGAAGGGTTTTTTTTTTTTGGTTGTTTGTTGGTGGAACGACAACGACATCGACATCGACATCGACATCGCCCACCATCATCATTCATCATGTCGGGCCGGAACTGCTCGTACATCACCGGCTACGTGGATCCCGACTTTCCGAACCCAGGCGGGCCGAATGATTCCTGCATCATCATCTACGGGTACGTATTTTGAATATACTTCCCATATTCCTCCATTCCCCCATTCCTTGATTCCTCAATTCCCCCATTCCCCCATCCCTCCCTCCCTCCATTCCTCCACCCCACACCCAACACCCCCCTATCCCCCCTATCCCCCCAGTCCAATCCACCCCTAACCCACAACCCCAGCTACACCCCCTCCCTCCCCCTCTGCATCCTCGCCCTCGCCCTCTTCTCCGCCGCCCTGCTCGCCCACACGCTCCTCCTCCTCCGCCACCGCACATACTACCTCTCCACCCTCCCGCTCGGCCTCGCCTTTGAAATCACCGGCTACGCCGCCCGCACCCTCTCCAGCCAGCGCAGCCCGTACTCGGTCCCGTACTTTGTCATCCAGTACTTTTTCATCGTCACCGCGCCCGTGTTTATCTCTGCTGCGATTTACACGCTTGTTAGTGTGCTGATGGTGCGGTTTGGTGGTGCTGGGGGGGTGGGGGAGGGGGGAGAAGGGGGAGAAGGGGGAGAAGGGGTAGGGGATGGGAACGGGCGAGCGAAAAAGGGCATCAAGATCCTCGGCCTCGGCCCCCGCGCCGTCTTATGGCTCTTCATAACATGCGACATCCTAACAACAACAATCCAAATCGCCGGCGCCGCCCTCGTCGGCACAGCATACTCCAACCGCCGCGACCCCACTACACCAAACAACATCCTGCTCGCCGGCCTAGCCATCCAAGTCGCCACCTTCGCCGCCTTCTTCGTAGTTCTCGGTCTGTTTATACGTAGGAGCTGGCGCGCGATGGACGGGCGGATGAGGAGGTTTGTCGGCGGCGCGGTGGTCGGGGCGAGTGGGGCGGTGTATGTGAGGACTTGTTTTCGGTTGGCGGAGACGGCGGGGGGGGTCATGAGTGGGGTTAGTACGCGGGAGGGGTTCTTTGCGGGGTTGGAGTTTGTGCCTGTTGTGCTTGCGGTTTGGGTTTTTGTGGGGTGGTTTCCCGGGTGGTATTTGGGGGGGAAGGGGGGTGGTGGTGGGGGGGGGGGGGGGGGGGGGGGGGGGGGGGGGGGGGGGGGGGGGAGGGAGGGGGTGTGAGGTGAATGGGGTTGTGCTGGGATGGGTTTTGTATGTCTAGATAGACGTGAGGTTTCTGTGTACTTCTGGCGTGGAGTATCGAGGTGTGAATGTGTAGCGTTGGCGTATAGTAGCGTGATTGATACTAATACTAACTACCAAGCACGAAGTAGCAGCAGAAGCATGAAGCAGAAGCAGAAGCAGAAGTAGAAGTTAAAGAAAAACACAATATAAAACATTCCTAAAGCACAAGTAAGAACAACACGTAAATACGTACATCCGTACACATACACCTCCAACGAACCAATTCCAGCAAGGAAACCACGCAGCAACAACAGCAGCAGCAGCAGCAGTAGAAGACAGTTATATTTCAGACGTTGAAAACTCCCCCCTTTCAAACAGAAGTCTACGACCCTCCCTTCCTTTGCCCCTATTCCGTTCCCCGTCAACTATCCTTCGCCCAGCAACCATTTGCCTAATCGTGTAATTGGCTAATCAATAATCCACACTCAAGCCCTCACTCCGACACCAAATGGGCAATCTTTGCAAGAGTGTCAAACTTGGCAGGCACAGCCGTAGGATCAAAATTCTCATTCTCGGCGTAATGGATCGTGCGCATGCCGCATTCCATAGCCGGTACCATGTCTCGTTCCTGGCTATCCCCAATGTAGACCATGTCTGTCGCCTGGATGTCCAAATGCGCAAGGACTCTGGGAAACAGTCCGTCGACCTTAGCCACGCCGAAGCGGTTGGTAGTCGCGAGAAAATCAATCTTGTCGCTGAGCCCTAGCGCCTCGATGGTGCGCTCTTGCGCATCCTGCGGGCCCTTCCGTGATGACGGCAATCTTCTTGCCCATCCGTCGCAGCTGGACGAAGAGGTCGAGAACATCCGGTTTCAGCTCTAGGATGCTGGTCAGGGTGTGCTCGTAGGTGTCAAGGAGTCCGGCGAGGAATTCTGGGCTGTTGGCAGTGGCAGTGAGAGAGAAGCTTGCGAGCAGGGCTGAGAAGCGCTCGCGGCGGTACTGGTGAGATGTCTTGCCGTCGCTGAAGGCGCCGGACGTTCCCTGGGACAGGATCTTCGAGTACGCTGATTTCAGGCAAGATATCTCGATTTGATGGGCGTTTGAGATTCGGGTTAGGGTTGCCGTAGTGGCGGCGCCGGAGGCCTTTCGGAACTCGTGAAGGGTGTCATCAAGGTCGAATCCGAACCAGGGGGATTGTCTCAGAGCGCGACGAAGGTCTTTGGCCTTGTCGTCCATGCTGCGCCAAAGCTCGATGTATCGCTTTCCGATCCGGAGTTCGATAGCGGCCTTCTCGGCGTTAGAGACCGAGTGGCTTGTCTTGGCAATAGATGGTCCGTTCACGCTGGCTGCCGAAGACAAAGGCCGACAGGGGACTCCTGAAGTGCAACATCTGCTCGTCAAACGGTACTTATATACGCTCCCATCGCTAATGCGAGCCAGAGTGAGAGGGAGCGGCGACATGGAGGCGCACGCAGCAGGTGTGACCAGACGTGAGCATATACAATCGGATACAATCCGAGGTACTAGATTAGGATTGTATGATTAGTCACCCCAAAAGTATAGATTAAGCTTGGAATCTACGCCAAGGGATTAAGATTACTTATATTAGATTAACTTGCTTATATAATAATTACCTAATTAGGAAGGAGATAGAGAAACCGAGAGATAAGTATATCTAAATATAGTTACTTATAGATGACTTTAAGTCAAAAACTGAGGAAATAGCTAAAATCCGAGCTTTTTTAATGGAATCACCCTCTACCGAGTTAAGTCGATTACCGTATAGAATAGAAAAGTATATTATTAGCCTTACGACTTAGGCTATAAGTTAATAAGTCCTTTTTCTATCTACGACTTTAAGTAGAGTACTAGCCGAATGTTAGGCACGTGAGGAGCACGTGGCCTGCCAGTTGATTCTACATGTGTGTAGTAGTCGTATATAAGTAGTGTGCTCCACCCTTAAAGTAGTAGCTTTAAGATTCGGTCCTTTTAGTATAGTTGGTTGGTATATAGAGCCTACCTCCTTATATAATTATTAGGGCTAACACTAGGATAGACTTAACTAGAATACTATAGTCTAGTACGGTCCGTGATAGGTAGACCTAGGGTAAGCCAGCTAGAATAAGCGAGACTACTATATAAGTAGGCCGTATATACTTAATTTCTACTCTTTAAAAATTAACCTCGTTAGAAGAGTAGACTACCCTTTTAAATATATTCCTAAATCCTTCTATAACCTATTAGACTACTATCCTATATCTATAATTCTTATATTTTAATTTCTCTTTATATAGCACGACGGTAGTTTATAGAAATAGCTCTAACTACTTATTATAATACTCGTGGTACCGCCTCTTATAGTAGACCTTCTCCTAATCTAAACGAGGAGAATAGTCTATCTATAACTATCTCTACCGATAACTATACCTTATAGACTATCATACTAATAACTCGTATAATATTCCGTATAACTATAGAAGATATTATAGAATATAAGAATAGAGTCTATTATACTCTATCTCGGTCTAGTTCGAACTATACTAGACCTAACCTTAATATAAGGCTAGACCTTATTAATATTAATAAGTTAATCTATTAGAATCGCCTAATATTAACTATACCTTATAATAACGTATATACTAGACTACACGAAGAGAGGTAATAATAGATTTAACTTAAGTAATAACTACGCGAACTTAATGAAGCTTAAGAATATACTACGAGACTTAAAGCTATATTATATACTTTAGTTCTAGTAATAACTAATCTATATTTATATAGATCTATACTAACTAAAACGATCTATCCTAGTCTACTACTATCCTAATTACCCTAACCTAAGAAACTACCTTACTTTAATAGTAAAAGTAGAAAGAGTTTCCACGTATAGACTTACTAATATAGCTGATTCTTCTATCTATTTACGAACGATAGTAATAAAATTAGATTCGTCTAGAACTACCTCGACCCGACGCCTTTAGAATGTTAGATAGTATACCGAATCGAATATTCTAAGGATACCTATAACTAGGACACGTTCACCGAATTTCTCCTCTAATATTTTAGCGATAGGGCTAAATAACACGACTAGGCCTAGGGCTATATCTTTAAGACTTAATAACGAGATAATTAGTTACCGTTATAACTCCTTAAATACCTTCGGCCTCTCTAGAGAGAAGCTAAAGAAGATCGTATAATTTAATAGTACGACGACTTTAAACGGTCCCTCGCCCTAAATATAAAGGACCGTCTCGACCTTATAATAATAATCTCTATAGACCTCTAAGCTCTTATAAATCTCGCGGAGCGATACTAGTATATAATAAATAATTAACGCCGTGCTAGTATATAACTATCTCTAATAATCTAATCTAACGTAAAATTATCTAACTAAAACCGATTTAGTAATAGATCTCGCGGGATGTTATAAGGCTACTACTACGTCTCGAATTTAAAACCACACGGATCGTATTATGGATCTCCCTACTAATTAATATATTAAGATATAAGAACCGACTTATATAAATAATCTAAAGTCACTTACTATACCTATAGTAGAATAGGCTATATAGTACCTAAGTACCGTTTGGGGAAGCTACTAAGTACTAATATAACTAACTAACTAGTTATATACTATAAGTACTAGTAGCTAGGATATATCACGTCTAACTACCTAGTATAGAATATAAAAAACTAATAGCCTATAAGAAACCCTCGCGACTTATAGGCGCGACTATAATAGAGGGGTAATCCGCTAAATAGTATATTAAACTATAGACTAGATCTATCAAGGTCTCTTATAGATAATATTAGACTATAATACTTAATAGTAGATCGGCTACTAACGTTATATCGATCTAACGAGCACGAGAACTTAACGCCAATATCTAAGCTCTAATAGATACTATATTCTATAGTATTAACGGTTCTATTAAGTTATATAGTATCTATACTATTAAATACGGTATCTAGGATAGCGGAGGGAAATAGAAACTCTACTACTTAACCTTTATCGTAGTAGATAGTCCCTTTAATATAATTCTAGGTATACCGTAGCTTAAGAAATATAACCTAAAACTAGACTTCCTTAAGAAGATAGCTAGCTAGCGTATAAACCTACCTTAATAGGAACTAGTATAGCTTATTAACGATAAATAATTCTAGAAAGATTATAAGAAGGCGATCTCTACTATCTATATACTCTTACTTACGTAAAATAGCGAGCTTAGTATTAAAGTAGATGAAAACCTACTATATTAGTATAAAATATACTAATATATCGCGTTAGCAATCGATTTCTCTAAACTACCTTAATACTAATCTACTAACCTTACTATTAATCTTAAAGACGGCTAGTAACCTCTATATAGACCTATCTACCCTCTTTTAGAACCTAAGTTATAAGCCCTTTAAGAATATATTAAAAAGAACCTTACGTAAGGATAGATTAGGTCTAGTATATTTCTAGCCGGAGCTCTAATCCTCTTTATAAAGAAGAAGAATAGGAGCCTCTATCTATATATTAACTACCGTAGCCTAAATAATATTATACGAAAGAATCGTTATCTACTATCTCTTATCTCTAAGTCTATTAATAGACTAGGACGCGTAAAGATCTTTACTAAGCTCGATCTATGTAACGTCTACTATTACCTTCGTATTAAGAAAGGTGACGAATAGAAAACGGCTTTTAGGACCCGTTATAGATACTTTAAGTATACTATAGTCCCTTTTAGACTAACTAACGCGCTAGGCACCTTCTAAGCGTATTGTGGTGAGCCATCGCTACGTGTGTCCCTTGAGTAAATGGCTGTGTTCCTAGTATAGTAGTCGCGACGAACTCACAAGTATCTCTCCCAGGTATTATAAGTTCTCTTTGAACGCACGACTTCTTATTAGTTCTCTTTTACGATAGGACGGGTCTATATAATACTCTTAATTAATTCTTTAATAGCTAAGCCTAATAATCAATACCCATAGAGGCCCATGAACGTAAGAAAAGGTCGAATAGTCGAATATTAGTAATGGGGGAAGCGTGCCGAGTAGAATGACCAAGGAAAACGCCCTCCTTAAATATATAATAAAGCCATGTAATCGAGCTAGGGACACATATATATAGGGCTATAGGAGCGGCCTTCTATATATACCTCCCCGGCCCATAGAACTACTACCCTTAGTAGTATAGTAACCGTGTGAGAAACCGTGTAAAGAACGCCTAAAAGAAAGACCTTAATACGAATAAAATGCGCCCCTAGTAAACCTCTCGGCGCGGGTAAACCTTAGCCCGGAT